ACCTTAGTTTTTTCATTTTCTCCTCTCTTTTTTCCTGTACATGCTTGCAAAGCATAGATTTATCAAAACATTGGTTATTCCAAGTTAAGAACATACCTCTTCAACTACCTGTGAGGGAAAGAAAAAATAAGGAAAAAAAAAAAAGTGAAATATTTAAATATAGATAGTGAATTTTTTTTTTTTTTTTTGAGACTGAGTCTCACTCTGCTGCCCAGGCTGGAGTGCAGTGGTGTAATCTTGGCTCACTGCAACTTCCGCCTCTCTGCTTCAAGCGATTCTCCTGCCTCAGCCTCCCCAGTAGCTGGGACTTACAGGCGTGTGCCACCATACCTGGCTAATTTTTTTGTATCATTAGTAGAGACAGGGTTTTGCCATGTTGGCCAGGCTGATTTCAAACTCCTGACCTCAGGTTATCCACCCGCCTCAGCCTCCCAAAGTGCTAGGATTACAGGTGTAAGTCACCATACCCGGCAATAGTGAATATTTTTAATATTTTAGTAAATGGATTCTAGATTTCATTTCCTTAGAGAAAGAAATTTTGCATTGTAAAGTTTCCTTGAATTCCTTGAATGATCCCAGTCTCCACAGCAATTGTTTTTAGCAAGTTTACAAAAGAAGCATGTAAAACATATTTGGTCTGGGTTTTGAATCTTCTTTATACACTTGAACTGACATGACTGCTGCTGTAATTTAAAAAAACCCTCACATTATTTATTTCATTATTCTTAATAATTGTGAGATTATTATATCATCCTTACCAAAAATTTGGAACATAAAAAGTTTGATTCATTCTTTGGGTGCAGGAAATAAACTGTGTCATTCTGCCACCAATAAAAAGCAAGCTGACAAATTGTCCACTCAATTGTTAAAAAATATAAATAACATTTATGACCAAATTTGCAGTTTTTTCAATTCGGTGGTCCATTCTTTTTTGCTGAATACCTTTGTCATGAGGAAGTGTAATGTCAAATTTTAAAGGGGAAATTAACTTTTAAAAGCATATGTTGTTCTTACCATTACTATCAATGTTTAAGTGATGGTATAGGCAGTCATATTGTCCCAAAAAAAAGAGAATTTGGAATATGAATAGTTTAAAAACGTTAGGAGACTGTAAATTTCTAGCTAACTCTGGAACAGTCATAACAACATAACTATGTAAAGTACTAACAAGTCAGATAATTTAGCCTGTACTGTTTTTTAAAGTAGAAGATTGGCTGCTGGGCGTGGTGACTCACGATCCCAGCACTTTGGGAGGCCGAGGCGGGCAAATCACAAGGTCAGGAGTTCGAGACAAGCCTGGTCAAGAGACCAGCCTAACCAGTGTGGTGAAACCCTGTTTCCACTAAAAATACAAAAATTAGCCAGGCGTGGTGGCGGGCGACTGTAATCCCAGCTACTTGAGAGGCTGAGGCAGGAGAATTGCTTGAACCTGGGAGGCGGAGGTTGCAGTGAGCCAAAATCACGCCATTGCACTCCAGCCTAAGCGATGGAGCAAGACTCCGACTCAAAAAAAAAAAAAAAAGACTGGCCTAAATTAGCAGACCTCGGCGCCCAGCTCCTTTTTCTTTTTTGTAATGATTTCCTCAGCCTCCTTTGACTTTGATTTGTAGAATGATTTTTTACTCCCTGTAGAAGGCAAGTTCAATAACACATTGTTATCTTTATCTTTATTATTGTTTTTACACACACCATGCACCATAATAGTACTAACAAACTAATGATGCTACCTTCCTGAGAAACTAATTGAAAATGTACAACTTGTGATAAACTCTCTGTACCTTGTGAAACTATGAAGCTTTAACACTTTTTTGGAGGATTCCTTCTCATGCCAATTATGAGATACCCAACAGAAGGTGCAGCTGGAAATACCATCTTATGTCAATGAATAACAAATACTAACCTCTTTGTGATTATTACTAAAAGGTTAACCTCTTTATTCAAATAGTACTCAATTGTATGATTAAAGATTTTTATGTCAATAAATATTGTGAAAGGTAAAAGTAAGGCTATTACAAAAGCCTCTTTGGTTATTGGATATCTTACTAACAATGTGACTTCTGTAGCACTTCCACCAGCAGGTAACTGTGAAACCTGTAAGAAATCAGGATATGGACATATGCTTCTTGGTTTTTGAAGCATTACTAAGCTAGGAAAGGTGACCTGCAAGATAGCTGCATTGAACAGTCTTCTCCAGGTTAAAAAAGAAAAAATTTCCAAAGGACTAAGATTGCATTCTTTTCATCGAGAAAACAAATATATTCCATTTAAGGGCAAGATTGAAAAAAAAGAAGAAGAAAAATATAACTCCAGAAAATTCCTCAAATAACTAGAGACTGAAAAAAGAACCCTACAAACCCCAATGATTTGCCCTTTGAAAGACTCTTAAAATAATAATAGTAATACTTGTAGACATTCTGAGATCACTGCTTTCTTAAAGGTACATATAACTGGAAAATATGCATTGCTATTTCAGAAGTATTGTATTTATGGTAAAATTTCTTTGATACTAAATATATTTGCTAAATTTTGTTTATTTACTATATTAATAAAACTATGTTAAAATTGAAAACATTCCAACTTGTTCAGAGTTTGTCATTATGCAAGTCATTGAGTTTTTTGTGGGGGAATTTATCTTCATTTAAGCTGTTAATTATAGCTCTACCATGATCAAAAAAATGAAATGTCTTAATATAAATTAATATTGTAATTAGGTGTATATTTATGTATGTGTATACTTACACTTAATATTAACATAAAATTAAATAATTTCATTTCTAGCAATAACTCATAAACAGTAATCTACAGAACAGTATTCTGCACTGTTCCGCTATTTAATTCAGTGATTAAATCCATAAGCAATGAATATTCCAATTACTGCTAAACTAGAAATGCTATAATTATCATAGCTTAATACCAGTTTCAAAAAATAAAATATGTAATTAAATATTGTGGATTACCTGCAATTTCCCATGACTATAAGATCTTACAGTGTTTTTTTGAGACAGATTCTGTCACCCAGGCTGGAGTACAGTAGTGCGATCTTGTCACACTGAAACCTCTGCCTCCCAGGTTTAAGCGATTCTCCTGCCTCAGCCTCCTGGGAAGCTGGGACCACAGGCACACACTACCACGCCTGGCTAATTTTTGTATTTTTAGTAGAGCTGGGGTTTCACTTTGTTGGAAAGGCTGGTCTCAAACTCCTGACCTCAGGTGATCTGCTCCCCTCAGCCATCCAAAGTGCTGGCATTACAGGCATGAAGCACAGTGCCCAGCCTCTTACAGTGTTTGTTTGTTTTTTGTTTTGTTTGTTTTTTGTTTGTTTTTTCGAGGCATAGTCTTGCTCTGTCGCCCTGGCTGGAGTGCAATGGTGTGATCTTGGCTCACTGCAACCTCCGCTTCCTGGGTTCGAGCAATTCTCCTGCCTCAGCCTCCTGAGCAGCTGGGAATACAGGCACGTGCCACAATGCCCAACCTTTTTTTTTTTTTTTTTTGTATTTTTAGTAAAGATGGGGTTTCATCATGTTGGCCAGGCTGGTCTCGAACTCCTGACTTCATGATCTGCCCACCTTGGCCTCCCAAAGTGCTGGGATTACAGGCATGAGCCACCGCGCCCAGCCTGTTTTTTGTTTTTTGTTTTTGTCTTTTTGTTTTTTGGTTTTTTTTTTTTTTGAGACGGAGTCTTGCTCTGTCGCCCAGGCTGGAGTGCAGTGACCGGATCTCAGCTCACACTGCAAGCTCCGCTTCCCAGGTTTACGCCATTCTCCTGCCTCAGCCTCCCGTGTAGCTGGGACTACAGGTGCCTGCCACCTCGCCTGGCTAGTTTTTTGTATCTTTTAGTAGAGATGGGGTTTCACGTGTTAGCCAGGATGGTCTCGATCTCCTGACCTCGTGATCCGCCTGTTTCGGCCTCCCACAGTGCTGGGATTACAGGGTTGAGCCACCACGCCCGACCAGTTTTTTGTTTTTTGTTTTGAGACAGAATCTCGCTCTGTCGCCCAGGCTGGAGTGCAGTGGTGCAATCTCGGCCCACTGCAACCTCCACCTTCCGGGTTCAAGTGATGCTCCTGCCTCAGCCTCCTGAGTAGCTGGGATTACATGCATGTGCCACCTCGCCCAGCTAATTTTGTATTTTCAGTAGAGATGGGGTTTCACCATGTTGGCCAGTCTGGTCTCCAACTCCTGACCTCAAGTGACCTACCTGCCTCAGCCTTCCAAAGTGCTGGGATTACAGACGTGAGCCACCACCGTGCCTGGCAGTCTCACAGTTTAAATTTTAAGTACAAAGATGTTCTTAAACATTTCTAAATGTATCTGCCTTAGTGTGATTGATTTTATAATGGGCATTGTGTCAATGGTTTTTTCTGTTCCCCTCTTAATATATGACTTTGGTTTTATTTTTGTTTAAAATAGATGGGTGCAAAACTGACTTAAAAGAGGATACTCTAGACTTTGAAAATATTTATAGTTTGATAAAGCCAAAGCATGTAATTTACAAAGACAATTTTCCACTTCAGTTGTGCTTTGATGCCTTACTAAGGAAAAGTCCCATTATTTTTGAGTAATTTAAAATCAAAATGACATTTTGGCCAGGCATGGTGGCTCACACCTGTAATCCCAGCACTTTGGGAGACTGAGGCAGGCAGATAACTTGAGGTCAGGAGTTCCAGACCAACCTGGCCAACATGATGAAAACCCATCTCTACTTTAAAAAATACAAAAATTAGCCAGGCATGGGGGTGCATGCCTGTGGTCCCAGCCACTCAGAAGGCTGAGGCAGGAGAATCGCTTGAACCCAGGAGGCAGAGATTGCAGTGAGCCGAGATCATTCCATTGCACTCCAGCCTGGGTGACAAGAGCGAAACTCCGTCTCAAAAAACAAAAATAAAATAAATAAAATACATCATTCTTCCCCACAAACCCCGTTTTCATCAAGAAAGCAGGTATTAGTGTAATGATTCTTAGCATTGTCACTTGATTTTTTCTAAGTAATCTATTCAGAGTGGTTTTTATTTCATTGACATTTTATTGGACAAAATTACCCTATGACACAGATTTATAAAATTTATACAAAACCTTATATTACAGAAGTAACTTTTTTCAGTGTTTTATTATGTTTTGGGATGCCAAAATACAAATAGTTTAAATGTAAAATTTAAACAACTATCAAAATAATACAGTAAAACCCTGTTATAAGCTAGCATACTGTTGCATAAATATAAGCACAAAGTCATACATTTTTTCCAAAATGTATGTATTTATTTTTTTTAAATCCTATTTTACAACTGAAGAGATGGGTAATCTTCTCTCCTTACATTGTACCCAGTACCAGTGGTATATGTCACCAGTGTATGAGTGAAATCTGCTGATTTTTTTTCACTGAATTGATTAGTTGGTTCAACTTTGTAAGAATACAGACTGAGAAGCCTTGATGTCACAAAAGACTAGAGCAAGCTTGGTTAGACTATGCCTTAAAGATCTATACCGTCATAACTAACTCTAATTTGAACTCCTCCAAAATACTGGCACTTGCCTGAATTACCTAGGTAAGGATGTAGAGCTGCTGTCTTGGCTTGAAGAGGGAAATTGTAGTTTGAAACACTAAGTTATACTGGAGTTAGAAGAATATTTTAGTGGAAAATGTCACGTCAAGGACTCCACTGAAGATCATTCCTAAATATATCCAGGTTCACAGTCATGCTTCTTGCATCCATGTATGTCAGATTACCTGTCTTTTTGCAGTATACCACAATGCAGTATCATACTTGTTAATATTCCTGAAACAGTTTAGGCAAATTATCACTGACATAATATATATTCGGAGTAAATAAATATGGCCATTTTCTCATCAAAATCTGGCTGTTGGTGCAAAAAAAAAAAAAAAAGGGAGTTTTGCAGTTAAATTTTCACTATCAAATGTCATGTTGGGGAGAATATTCAGAAAAGGGGGACTACCAGTGAGCTATTAAGAGTTTGTTCCATGGGAATTCTGTTCTCAATGATGTAGTTTCCAAAGAGATAATGCGACCTTGGCCTAACACTTTCATTTGACAGAATAAACAGAAGACCTAAAGCTTATGTATTTATTTATTTTTATTTTATTTTTTATTTTTGTGGAGATGGGGGTCTCGCTATGTTGCCTGGGCTGGTCTGGAATTCCTGGCCTCAAGCTATCCTCCTGCTTCTACCTCCCTAAATGCTGGGATTATAGGCATGTTCCATAGCGCCTGGCCTAGCCCTGAAGTTTAAATGACTTATGCAAAGTCACATAATCTGTTGCCAAAACAAAGCTTCCAGAATTGTGTTTTTTCTTGTCCATAATTCTTATGTTTTTATTATTATTATTATTATTGAGATGGAATCTCGCTGTGTCACCCAGGCTGGAGTGCAGAGGTGTGATCTCAGCTCACTGCAACCTCCGCCTCCCAGGTTCAAGCCATTCTCCTGCCTCAGCCTCCTGAGTAGCTGGGATTACAGGCACCTGCCACCACACCACGTAATTTTTGTATTTTTAGTAGAGACAGCGTTTCACCATGTTGGTCAGACTGGTCTCAAACTCCTGACCTCAAGTGATCTGCTTGCCTCGGCCTCCCAGAGTGCTGGGATTACAGGCGTGAGCCACTGTGCCTGGCCTTGTCCATAATTTTTAAATGCAACTTTTCCATTTTAATTGTGACATATAATGCCTCAATTTTTGTTTTAAAACATGGAAATTGGACACAATGTTATTACTAAAAGCTATTAATTTAACCTTTCTCCTTATTTATTTATTTATTTTATTTTATTTTATTTTATTTGAGTTGTAGTCTCACTATGTCTCCCAGGCTGGAGTGCAGTGACATGATCTCAGCACACTACAACCTCTGCCTCCCAGGTTCAAGCGATTCTTCAGCCTCAGCCTCCCAGGTAGCTGGGACGGCAGGCGTGCACTACCGTGCCTAATTTTTGTATTTTTATTAGAGATGGGGTTTTACCATGTTGGCCAGGCTGGTCTCCAATTCCTGACCTCAGGTGATCTGCCCGCCTCAAAGTGCTGGGATTACAGGTGTGAGCCACCGCGCCTGACTCTCCTTGTTTATTTTTAAGTGAGAAGGGAAAATTAAATGTAGAACAATTACGACAGACTTGTAAAAGGAATAAACACCCCAGATTTGCAAGCCAATTCTACTCTGAATCCCAAAATATATAGTTTCTTCAACTCTAATGGGTCAGAGAACTATGTGGAAAGTTTTTTTTTTTCCAGAAAAGATCTTTGACAAAACACACACACACACACACACACACACACACACACACACACACACTCATTTTGGGGTAAGAGATTTTTCCTAAATAAGTATAGCCATCTTGTTTCTATCATTTATAATTCAATAAGCTGCAAGGATGAGGACTACATAACCATTTCTCCCTTCAAATGAGAAACTGGGATACAAGTGGTTTGAGGTAGGGAAGAAATGATAAATTTTAAAAACTCAAATGACAAGTTCTTCCTGGCTGGAGAGTGAGACAAGAGAAACCACAAAACCCCAGATTGTGCAATCTGTAAAGACAGTGATAAAGTGACTACTTCATAGGTGAAGATGGACAACTTGAACTTCCCCTTGAGTTTCACAAGGGAGCCCTGTGTGTGAGAAGGAAGGAACATATTTGAGTGTAATGTGCAGTTGCATTTAGATCTAAGGAAACTTAAAATGAATTTAAGTTTCCTTAAATTAAGGAAATTTAAGTTTCCTTAATTCAAAATGAATTTTTGAGCAGTTCTCCACTGTAACTTTAATAAGTCTCCATTTCAACTTTCTGTTCTCAATCCCCTCTATCTACAGCTCAAACACATGCAGTATCTGCCAGCCATGTCCATGAATTCCTGATGTCCCAGCCAAGTGCCTCTCAGCTCAAAAAGCCCCTTGCTTGCCAGGGGTCAGCCATGTCTGGAAGGCTCTGAAAGAGGTCTGCTGGGCAGCGGGACTGCTGCTGTGGATGAGAGACCTCTTGTTGGACTGGAGAGACCAGGAGCTGTAAGAAACCCAGAAATAAAAAGGCTTAGATGGGGATAGCTGCAAAGGTATCAGCTCCCAAGTACCAGGAGCTCCTCCCTCCTCTCCACCAAATCCCACAGTTGGGACATCTCCCTGAAAGCCCCACCCCAAGTAAAATTATTTGCTGTCTCACCCTCAAATAAGAATGAGTCAATAATTAAGTAATGCAATTATACAAGCATAGTCGTAAACAACTATGTTGCAAGTATGCTGACATGCAAAGATGTGTTTTATCTTTAATTACCGGAAGAAAATAGACAACTTGAGTTTGAGCACCTAACTTGAAGAAGAAATTAGGAAATAATAGTCCCTCCCCACCACACCCATCACTCCCAACCCATTCTGCCTAAAACTCCTTTGCATTGTAGATTTTATTTGTAATTTTTAAACTCTTATTTTAAATTAGGTCCCAAAGAAAGAAGCTGGCATTTCTTATTCTTTTCAGAGTGGTCTGAGAAAAAAAATAGGAAAGCAAACTCTTTCTTTTTTTTTTTTTTTTTAAATCAATACCCGAGATAACAGCCAGAAGCAAAAATCCACCGGTGCGTCAGCAAGCAGGGCACTCGGCCATTCAGCTCCATCCTTCCCTCTGAGCTGTTCTCCAGCAGGCTCCAGCCGCAGCTCCAGGCCACTAGAGCAGATAGATAATGTAGGACAGAATGACCAGGCCTATGATAGCAAAGAACATCAGGATGAAAATATCCAGCATTGTGGATTCCTAGGCCGACCAGGCCCCTGGATTCTGGTGAAACGTGAGCTGTGAGCACGGAGGTTGCAGTCGGTGGAGAGAAATGGCTCCTCTTCCCTCCACGGCTCAGCCCTTGTTCTTTCCCCTCCCCCTCCTGGGGGCCTGAGACTGAAGGATGCTGCAGCTCCACCAGCAGCTTCCTGCCCCCCCACCAACCACAGCCAACCAATCACAAAGCCTGGGGGTGGATAGCCAAGAAGCTGCCAGATTTAGACCCACAGAACCGCAGAATCAAAGGGGCTCAATTTCTCCCCAGTAACCCAATCTGACCCCTTTGTATCTAAATGGAGCCTGCATGCTCTGGATGTAGGAGGAGATAGGATCCTACCCAGCTCCCCCGCGAGTGAATCCTCCTGACTGCCTTCTTCGCCTTTCCTCTCACACACCTCAGGCAGATTATCTCAGAAAAATCACGGTTGGGTATTGGGTGGGCCATTGGCAACTTCTAAAGGTCACATTATGGGGAGACACAGACAAAGGACTCATATGGATCTCAGTGGGCTTCCCTGGGGGATGAAGCTAACATTTATACATTTCCTACATTGGGCCAGATATTGTATATGTGGTGCAATTTCAACCACCCTACGAGTCTTTCATAGATGGGGGTCAGAGATGGTCAGAAATTTACCTAATGCTTCATAGCTTAGATGTGTCAGAGACCAGCCGGGCACAGTGGCTCGCGCCTGTAATCCCAGTACTTTGGTAGGCCAAGGCAGGTGGATCACAAGGTCGGGAGTTCAAGACCAGTGTGGCCAAGATGGTGAAACCCTGTCTCTACCAAAACTACAAAAGTTAGCCAGACTTGGTGCCGCATGCCTGTAATGCCAGTTACTCGGGAGGCTGAGGCAGAGAATTGCTTGAACCCAGGAGGTGGAGCCGAGATTGTGCCACTGCACTCCAGCCTGGGCTACAGAGCAAGACTCCATCTCAAAAAAAAAAAAAAAAAAAAATTAGCTGGGCATGGTGGCAGATGCCCGTAATCCCAGCTACTCTTGAGGCTGAGGCTACAGAATTGCTTGAACCCGGGAGGCGGAGGTTGCAGTGAGCTAAGACCGTGCCGTTGCACTCTAGCCTGGGCGACAGAGCGAGACTCTGTCTCAAAAATAAATAAATAAAATAAGAAGTAAAAGGCCTGGTGTGGTGGCTCATGCCTGTAATCCTAACATTTTAGGAGGCTGAGGCGGGTGGATCACCTGAGGTCGGGAGTTCAAGACCAGCCTGAGCAACATGGAGAAACCCCAGCTCTACTAAAAATACAAAATTAGCTGGGCGTGGTAGCGCATGCCTATAATCCCAGCTACTCGGGAGGCTGAGGCAGGAGAATCGCTTGAACCTGGGAGGTGGAGGTTGCAGTGAGCTGAGATTGCACTCCAGCCTGGGCAACAAGAGTGAAGCTCAATCTCAAAAAAATAAAATAAAGCCGGGCGCGGTGGCTCAAGCCTGTAATCCCAGCACTTTGGGAGGCCGAGACGGGCGGATCACGAGGTCAGGAGATCGAGACCATCCTGGCTAACACGGTGAAACCCCATCTCTACTAAAAATACAAAAAACTAGCCGGGCGAGGTGGCGGGCGCCTGTAGTCCCAGCTACTCCTGAGGCTGAGGCAGGAGAATGACGTGAACCCGGGAGGCGGAGCTTGCAGTGAGCTGAGATCCGGCCACTGCAGTCCAGCCCGGGCTACAGAGCAAGACTCCGTCTCAAAAAATAAAATAAAATAAAATAAAATAAAATAATAAATGAATAAGAAATGTCAGAGACCAAGATTCAAAACTAGGCATGCAGACATCGAAGTCCATATTCTTCCTCTTGCCCCACACTGCTCCCCCTGTTGGTCTGGAAGGCCTCTACACCCCACGTGCACTGCTCAACTTGCAGAGGGTGCACTTACAGGATGGGCACAAGAGACCCCTCCTCCACTCACTCCTTCGTCTCTTGCAGTCATTACCCACTGTTTTGTTTTCCTTCTTTCTTTTTTTGTAGAGACGGGGTCTTGCCATTTTGCCCAGGCTGGTCTCAAACTCCTGGACTCAAGCAGTTCTCCCACCTCAGCCTCCCGAAATGCTGGGATTGCAGGTGTGAACCACTGCACCTGGCCTAATTTTGTTTTCTTTGGTATCCTCTTCCAAAAGCTCAGCATAGTGTTATACACAGAGAGGACACTGAAGAATTCTCAGGGGGCATCCCTGAAATTAAAAAAATTCAAGTGGTTTCTTCTGAGGGGGAAAAGAGAATTGTTTTATTCTTTTCTTTATTTTTATTTATTTATTTATTTATTTATTTATTTATGAGACGGAGTCTCACTCTGTCACCCAGTCTGGAGTGCAGTGGTGCGATCTCTGCTCAATGCAAGGTCCGCCTCCTGGGTTCACACCATTCTCCTGCCTCCCGAGTAGCTGGGACTACAGGCGCCTGCCACCACGCCCGGCTAATTTTTTGTATTTTTAGTAGAGACAGGGTTTCACCATGTTAGCCAGGATTTTTTTGCCTTTTTATAAGCCTCAATTATTTCTTATTAAATTAAAAAATTCCCTAGGATGTCTCTGAGGCCTAGTCTCCTTGGCCCCCACCCCAAATAGTATTTTTTTTAAAGGCCTGGGGTTAAGATATATTGGTAACCTCCTCATAATGCTAGACCTCAAGAACTTAGGCCACTCAGAAGGAAATCCAGAAGCCCCTCCCATTGGCCCACTCCCAGGAGGCAGAGCTTTCTGTGAGCAGGGAGTGGAGACGTGGCAGCAATGCCCCCCAAAGCACTGTTCCCTCAAATAGATCTGAAGGTGAATGAAGCCTCCTGAGGAGTGGGGTAGGCCAACATGAGGCAAGATTTGCCAACAAACTCCCTTCTATTGGGAAAGTACTGGGCTGCCTGCGCCCCTGGAGGGGAGCAGGTGTCAGTGCTGTCTCTAATTATACCACCCAGGGCCGCCTTGGATGCTCCCCACACTGGCCCAGCTTGGCGGACTCTGGCCATGTCATTCTCCAGATTACAAATGCTCAGCTCAGGAGAGCCCTCCTCCTCTCCACCCTGCTGTGATTCTTAGGCTGGACAATGCTTTAGTTCTGAGCCCCAAGAGAGAAATGCCCCTCAAGCAGCTGGACCTGAGGCTGATTGGCAGCACTGAGCAGGGCCAGACTCACCTCTCTACCACTGTCCTCTTCCCATGCCCACTGAGCAAGAGGGGAGGCCGCCTGGCCTTTTGGCCAGTCACAGACCCTGGGCACCTGGAGCAAAACATGGAACCCAGGAGACACGCATCTGAGAGCTGCCAAGGACACAGGCACACAGCCTGCCACGGCCAGATGGCACAGCACCAGACTGTGAGCATCACATGGGAGTCTCAGGCCCCACTCTGCCACTGTGACTGCCACCAATCTGCTTTGCCTTTCTGGGTTTCAGTGAGCCCCTCTATAAGTAGTTACTTCTCTCACAGAGTTGTGAGGAAGAAGGAAGAAAGGGGATGTGTATTAAAGATTACATTCAGAAGGCACTGTGAGTAGTGCTTTGGGTTACCAGGCCACCTTACAGACAGCTTTATCCAGGTCCCATCCCACTGCGGAATGCCCTGTCCCTGTCATCTCATTCCTTAAACGCATGGAGCTCCTGCTCTCTGCCTGGCAGCGGCAGAGTGCTAAAACTGCTCCCCAGCCAAGCTCATTCATTAATTCAACAGCTCCGCACCTGCTCCTGGGCAAGTACCAGGGATTTAGAGATGAATTAGACTCATCGCCTGCCCCAAGGGCTCTGGCTAGTGGGTACAGATTCATCACTGAGGAAGTGACACAGTAAGACAAGACGGAGCTCAGGGAAGCTTCCGGGAGCATCACCAAGTTGGGCAGAGAGGAATAAGCGGGTGGGAAGCCAGAAGTAGGTTGGTGGGGAGTTCTCAGCAAGGAGGAACTAGGGGCCGAGGGCTTGTCAGACAGCAGCAAACTATCCTTTGGCGTCCAGACAAGTCATTCTCTCCCTGAAGGGCAGCAGAGCTCCCAGGAGGGCCATAGGCCAGTGCCCCCAAGCAGACAGAACACACGCACACACAGCAGTACGTTACAGCTAGACACACACACACACACACACACACACATACACAGCAGCACCTTACAGCTAGACACACACATACAGCAGCAGCACCTCACAGCTAGACACACACATACAGCAGCAGCGCCTTACAGCTACACACACACACACACATGCAGCGCCTTACAGCTACACACACACATGCAGCGCCTTACAGCTACACACACACACACACATGCAGCAGCAGCACCTCACAGCTACACACACACACACATGCAGCGCCTTACAGCTACACACACACACACACATGCAGCAGCAGCGCCTTACAGCTAGACACACACACACACATGCAGCGCCTTACAGCTACACACACACACACACATGCAGCAGCAGCGCCTTACAGCTACACACACACATACAGCAGCACCTCAGAACCAGAGAGGAAACCAAGTCCGCAGGTAAAAATTATACTTTTATTTGAGTCACCAGGAGAAAGATTCACTTGTGGTTCAAGTCAAATGTTCAGAATCATAACAGGCCAGAAAGATTTGATCCCGAGCACAAGCCCACGAGGGAGGGGACCAAAACAGACTGAAATGAGACAACAACCCCATATAAAAAGATGAGTGGGTGGCTTCACACACGCACACACATACACACACACACGGATGAAATGTTTGGACAGAGGCAAATTTCATGTGGTCATTTCTGTTTCTTTTTAAATACAGGTTTGTAGGGTGGTATTTTGTTTTTTCCAGCTATAAAAAAAGGCCCAAAAGTGCATGTGTGAGGGGGGAAAGGCAGAAATTAAGCAATAAAGTCATTTTCCCTGGAGGGACATGAGAGGGAGAAAACAGGAGGCAGTGTTGGGAGAACACACTTGGCTCACCACTGGGCTTCTTGTCATTTTTAGTATTGGTCCACAAAAGTTATATTCACATTCTAGCTTTGATGCCTCTTTCCTAGGATTAAATGAGCTGAAAGACCTCTGTGAACTATAGAGAAGACCGGGGGCTCAGCCCAGCACAGCCCAGCCCCTCAGGGCTCTGTGCTCTTCTAGGGATGTAATGGTTCTGGTAAGGAACAGAGATGCCCAGCAGCCTCCGGGTCACTCAGCACCAGTGTGACAGTCCCTCCTCTCTCTGGGGGTGTGTAAGAAAATGGCCCCTATTTTTAGGACAGGAAGAGTAGAGGGAGGGCCTGCAGCAAGATGCCATAACTGGCTTGCCTTATCTGGGAAGGAGAATTAAGCTGAGTGACAACAGGCTGCTTCTTGCTGCTCCTCCCCTCCACTCACCACTCTCCCAAACTCAGGTCCTCTAAGGGGATGTGTCCCTAACCTTTGGTCCCCAAATCCACACTGTGCTTTGAGATCAAGAGGAAACAGAGTGCACCAGCGCCACCCAAGACTCCCAAGCCCCCACATCGCCCAATATAAGATATTCCACTTGCCTCCACCTAGGCTGGGGCCAGAAAGGAAAAGGGATGGGTCAGGCAGGGCCTCCCCACCCACAGTCTTTTCCTCAGCCTCTCATTTGGGGCAAATATCCCCAAATGAATTAACAAGCAGTTGACAAAAACACCCATGATGACTGATTGTTGAACAGGCCAACACCTTCAGGTCCTGTCCCTCACCTGGGGGTACAAGTGTGCAAAGGGACAAGAGGCCAACGGCGGGGGGCCTGGTTGGGCTCAGGGTGAAAATGGG